CTTTTTCTTCTTATTTTTATATATGCAGAGTCGGCATCCTTGTTTTGTCCTCCTGCTACATGGCCTTCAAGATCGTGGCTCTTGAGCACCGGTTGAACTCCTTGTTGTCAATGGGAGAGCTCGTTCATAATGAGTGAGGGGATTTGAACAGGATGTTTTATTCTAACTAGCACATACTGTACCTTTCATGATCTGTTGAATGATTTAAAACCAACTTTCATTGCAGGAACGCTGGAAGCCAAAGATCTCAGATTGAAGTGAATGCTGAGATCTATGGGGAGCTCTCCACTAACCTGTTCAAGTTAGAGAAGGTTTGCTCTGCTCATTTACTAATGACAAGCTTACCAATGCAACCAACATAAATCTTGCTGTGTTCAAACGTTTGCAGAAACAGAGCTCTAGCAAGCAGAATGGCTTGTTTCAGAGGATCAATTTTAAGATTTCAAGCATCATATTTCAGTGTTTGTGTTAAAGTAAAACAATCTGTTAATGTTTGCACAGTAAATAGAACGGTACATTGTGCAGTGGAGGCTTGAATGAAGGCTGTAAACAAAAGGTAAAACTTTTACCTGGTTCGGTCTATAGAAAACATGAGCCAACTGCTATGCTGTGTACATTATGGGGCCTTTTTGAGATTTTAACAGTTTAAAAAGTGTTTCGAAATGCCTGACATATCATCAAACTTTGCTTCTGTCTTTGATGAGTTAATTCAATTCAGTTTATTTCTGTAGCGCCAATTCACAACACATGTCATCTCAAGGCACTTTACAGTTCACCAGATCATACAGTCAAATTGATTCAAAGTTTTCTATCTAAAGAAAACCAGTTGATTGCGTCGATTAATTGACTCAAAGGCAATCTCTCACACTAAGCATGCTTGTAGCGACAGTGGAGAGGAAAAACTCAATTTTAACTGGAAGAAACCTCCAGCAGAGCCAGGCTCAGTGTGAGCCGCCATCTGCCGAGGCCGACTGGGGTTCAAGGAGACAGAAGCAGAGATACAGAAAGATGCAGAAATACAAAAGGCAACTGTCAACCTCCACTGACCAGGAAACGCACAGCCAGACAGCAGAGCTCCAAGCCAGCTCCGATGTCAGAGGATGAAAGAGAGCACATACAGTTAATCACAGTCAGAGAAACAGGACTACACTGAAAAACAGGCCGATCTCGAACATCTATAAACAAAGTTGTTGATGGCAGCAGCACAGCTGATATTTTTCTCCAGGATGGAGTCACTGCCATACAGGAACAGACCAGATGAAGCTACTATGATGAGAAAAAGCAGAGAGAACATAAAGTTAGAAGTTGAACTAACAAATTCAAAAAAATTGGGAGAATAGAGATGGAATAAAAAAAGATGATGGAAAAAGGGGTCTCCATGTCCTCCAGCAGTCTAAGCCTATAGCAGCATAACTATGAAGATAGCTCAGGATAACCTAAGGACCTCTAGCTATAAGCTTTATCAAAAGGAAAGTTTTAAGCCTTCCCTTAAGAAGTAGACAAGGTGTCTGCCTCACGGACTAAAACTGGCAGTTGGTTCCACAGGAGAGGAGCCTGATAACTAAAAGATCTGCCTCCCATTTTAGAAATTGTAGGAATGACTAGTAAACCTGCAGATATAGAGTGAAGTGGTCTGTTAGGAACATAAGGAACAACATATAGTTGAACGTCAGTATAAAGAAAGCAAATGTTTTGAGAGACTGATTGCAAGTTTTGTAACATTTCCTTCATACTTAGTAGAAATGCCTTTAAACTATAACTAAGATCAAAGGTTTTAAAAGTTCTCCCAAATCTTAGTTAAATATAGATAGATTTTGTTCCCATAGATGTAATTAACGTGTTATTGCAGAACCTTTTTTAGGCCCAACATCAAACTACGGAGGAATCTCTATTTAAAGATTAACATCCCCCCCTAAGATTGTACCTTCAACTTACTCCGCCAGCTGTTAGCAAGTGAATCGCTTTTCTTAAATCAGACATCCGTTTCATAAGACCTCTCATTTCAACCTTGGCTGTTTCATAAAACTTGATTGGGTTGGGATTAAATTTATGTCAATGAGTGACTTTTTGATGCCAACCATTCTTAAAGCTTTTTACATGGTCTGTTTTATGCAGTATATGTTATACAGTTTACTCTGTAGCACCTTCACCCAGTTAAAACTAAGTAAAGGTGCAACTTATCCATTGACTTTATATATTTGGCAAATTATTTCTATTTAATTATAGTTTACCTTTTGCCCAGAAGCTAAACATTTTAGATTTTAAATAAACAGTAAGGTCGTATTAATTAGATGAGAAAGTATGATGTTTTTCCACCACCTTCCAAAATGGCTGCCTCATACAAAAAGTTTATTCACACTTTTGACTGTTTAAATCTTTTTAAATAGATAATAATGTACGTGCTTGGAAATGTTGACTGTCAAAGATCACAATCAGTATACAACTTGTCACCAAGCTGTTATGCCGCCCCTTAACACTATGTCATCCTGGGTGGGGGGCCAAATTCTGTTTAAAACTGTGAAAGGGTATTAATCACAGTTAATTTACCTTGTAGATTACCAACATCAATCATCTGGTTACCGCTGAAGGCAACAGGGGTACAACGGTTTGAGAATATTGAGTGTAAATCCTTTAAAAACAAGCTTATCAGGCTTACTGAGCTCTCCAAATAAATCCTAAGATAACTCCCCTTCATAATCAGACCAAAGACATGAAAACAGAAATAAATCACCTGTAAGGGACAATAATAAATATGTGTTCCTTTTTTTCCTTCTATCCTAGATTCAAAAAAACCTCAGGAAGCTCCTGGAGGAGACTTAAAAGAAGATTCGTTTCTACGTTTCTGTCCAGACGGAGGCTTGGCTGTTAATTAGAGAGGCAGTGGGAGCTGCCACATTTGGTGGCTCTGTTGCCAAAGCATGGACAGCTCATACCGAGAGCTCTGTCTAAAAAGCTGTGTGAACATTTGCTGTGCAATAATAGCCTCTCTCTTTGTTTCCCTCAGGACTTTTCTGTCTCTCATTTCAAACAAAGCAGCGCTGCAGCTGTACGGCAGTATATTAACATGTACGGTATTTTAGTTTGCGTTTTAATGACATTGATGATACATTTTTAAAATACATCTATATATATCTATATATATCTATATATATATAGATATATATATATGTTTGTGTGTGTGAAGGCTGGTTCAAATGTGCAATGTCAGTGTTAGGAAACATTTCTTAAAAGGTCAAGTAGCACTGTTGGGCTGTTTTTGTTTGAAATGACTGCCAATGGATTCTATTCATATCATGTCTGTAAATCATTCATCGTCTAATGTTTGCACAAAAGCCAAGTACTTTCCCATGAAGGAGTTCGTAGTGCTTTTGTAAATATTTACCTTAACATACTTAAGTGGTATGTTCAGAAGAAAGAAATCTGTTTATAATGAGATTATCTTAGATGAGTTTGAACTTATATTTATCGTAGATGTTTTACTAAAAGGCTTAATCAACTGATGATTAGATACTTCGACTTTTCTAATCGGATAACTTATGTTTGTGTGAATAAATTGAATGTTCAAGCTTTCATTCAATCAGTATGTGTTTAAAGAGCTGTGTGTACATAGGGCTCGGACATTATGCGTCTTCCTGTGCTGGTATCAAGTATTTAAATCCTTGGTCTCCCTCCCCCAGAATCTCCTAAACTATGTTTTCACGGGATCCTATACTAATTGGGAGACGCTGAGTTACATAAGGTTGGTTTGGTGGTCAGGTGACTGCAGACCCTAGTCAAATGATTGCACATACACACACACAACCACCTTTGTTTTCCTGACATATGGGGACACTTCATTGACTTACATTCATTTTATATGGTCTAACCCAGACCCTAACTATTAACTCAATATATATATATATATATATATATATATATATATATATATATATATATATATATATATATGTAAACAAGACCACACACAGTGTAATCTGGCTATATACTGAAAATCTGTATTACTACTGAGTATAACAATACTTATTAAATGTCCAACAGTTAAATATTGTCTTTATAAACTATTAGATGGATACAAAAAAGAAAATATATAACTTAGATATTTTATTGCCCAAAAATATTTATTTTTAAATATATATTTTTAAGTAATCTGAAAAAGTTGAAATAAATGTGTATGTATATATATA